AACATTTTCGCGACAACATACTGCTTTGTAACAGTTTCTCCGCATGTCTTCACTTGATTCACCAACCGAGTGATTCTCGTTATGAAGTCGTTGATTGTCTCATTCTCTTCCATTTGAATCAGTATGATTTGGCGCTTCTAAGTTTGTAATCTCACCACCTTGCCTTATCAGCCCCTGCATAAGTTCTCTCTAAGATATCTCACGCTTGCTTCGACGTTTCGCAATCACCAACTTTCTCTAAATTTTTGCCATCAACATATTGGTGGGTCAAGAACAATGCCTTAAAGTCTTTCTTCTTTTCTTTCTTATGTGTTGCCTGTTGCGCCTCTGTTGCATTAGCTTGAAGAGGAGCAACATCATTCTTGATCACCTCAATAATGTCTTGGTAGCTAAAAAACATCTTCATTTACTTGCACCAATTGTCGTAGTTCTTCGCATCAAGGATGACTAAATTTGCAGGAATCATTTCATTGGAGACAAAATTCATGTTGCACACTAGGTGTTTGTGGATCTGAGCCAGACTCTTGATGCCAAATGTTGGAACAAGCAACCATAAGATTGATGAAACAATGGTGGATGTGGAGAGCGAAACAACAGAATTGAGAGAGAGAGAGAGAGAGAGAGAGAGAGAGAGAGAGAGAGAGAGAGAATTAAGGGTGAGATGCTATATTTTTATTAACTAGGTGTATATATATATATATATATATATATATATATATATATATATATATATATATATATATATATATATATATATATATATATATATATATATATATATATATATATATATATATATATATGGCAAAAATACTGTCTAAGTTCTTTAAGTTATTTTAAAATAACAAGTCAGTTCTTTAAGTTTTTTTTGTAACACATTGCTCTTTTATGTTAACAAACATTTGCATCATTATCCTATTTAAAATTTTCCGTTACAAAACGCATATGTGGCAAAACGGAGTACATGTTACATTTAACTGAGATGATGTGTTATTTTATTTTATTATTTTATTTTATTTTTTCTGAATTTTGATTAATTCATCTTCTTCCATAATTTTCCTGGTGTAAAATCAATATCTTCCATAAAAACTTTTATTGTGAATCAAACAATTTATAATTTGTAAGAAATGGAAAGATTCACATAATTTTAAATTCTATACTACATAACATTGAAATTGCTGTGAGTTTTGTAAGAGGAATCTCATAAAACTAAAACAAAAAATGACAGATTAAGCCAAGGGCATGGATCAAATCTGGATTTTACTCACACATGTTCATCACTTTCACAAATGTTCATCATATTTAACAATTTTCATAAGCAAAAATCTGGAAATCACAAAAACAATGAAATAAATTACAAATTATATACTGTTGGACTTGGATTTTCACCATGAATCCAAATATTCAATCAAGTTTATCTAACAAGTTATGATTCATTAGAATCAGGTAACAAAGTGGACGAAATACATAATGAAAAATCATTCAATCCGACCAAAACACACAATCAAATGCAAAACTAATAACATATTTGTTATCAGCGTGAAAATTCAGTCAAAATGGTATATGAGTTTGCAATTTATTGTTGAGATTTAGAGTTTTGTCATTTTTGTGTATGTATTGAGTTTTAGAGTTTTGAAATTCAGAAATTTAAGAAATGACAAGACAATAGTCAAATCAGCAACATTCAATGCAAATTTATCTCAATTAAATGACACATGTGCTCCATTTGTACCACATATGCGTCTTTATAATGAAAAATTTTAAAAAGAATAACAACGCAAATATTTGTTAAGCGATTACAGTTGAATTACTTTAAAAATTTCAACAATTCTAACTAACTTTTCCAAAAAAAAAAAAGTTTCCCTTTTATATTTAGTCTAATATAGAAAGATGTCATATGTATTTTAACATAAATAAATATGTTAGTGTGTGAAATAATGTATTACTAGTTAGTATAAAAACAAAATAAAAAGAAAATGTATTTTTATTCCATTTGACGTAAATATTATTATTTTTATATGAATTTGTAAAAATACAAAATTATTAGTTGAGTTAGACCTAAATGCTATTTGAACACTTTTTCAGATGTGCAATAGTTCACTTTTATATTATTTTGTATAAAGAAAATTGTTTTTACTATTTTATTCTTTTTTTTATCATATTAATAATTACTACCTCAGTATTTTATAAATTACTTTGAAAAAAAATTGTTCTATGTTTTTTTTTATTTATCATTCTCTCTCTTTTCAATTATGTAAATTTGTCTTCTCAATATCATTAATAAAGTACAATTTTATAAAACTCTTTATAATTTATATTTTTCATACCACAAATATTATATTTCTTAAGATTTGTGAAAAGTAAAAAAAAAGACCTATAATAAAAAATAGAGGGAGTATAAATTATATATTCGTATAAAAATTTAAAAACCGTTCTTATTTTCAATTATGGTATGACTATTCTGTCAAAAAAAAAATTGGTATATGATTGTAAAATTAAAAAATATATATATAAAATATTCTTGTTTAATCTCTTAATATTTCCCATTAATTGTACTACAAATATTTTTTTTTGATAATCAAATTTCCAAATAATATAAATAGGAAATTCGGAGAGTATTTCAAAACCAATTACAAGTAGAGATACTAAGTATCTAATCCACTACAAAATAATTGTATACAAATATTCTTAATTGAATTTTTAAAAAATAATAATTGATCCTCTTATTTGTTTAGATTAAAAGTTGTATCTTAATTGCAATTATCATATGAATCTTAGATGGGTCAAAGGGATCGGTAGCACAATTATTTTGAACTCAGCGTTAAAAATCAAAGGATAACATATTAGTCTTTATTAATAAATATTAATATTTTTAAGTACATTTTTTTGTCATATTTACGTTTGTCAATTTAACTGTCATAACGAGTAACTTACACCACAAGTCAATTCTTTATCTTACTATACATTTTTGGCTTACTATTAGAGGTTGTTAGATTCGGTAATTATGGTTAATTAGAATGCTCATATGCTATATATAGCATCATGTAACTAACTTGAACTTCATTCAATTTCAATTTTCATCGGTTAAAGTTTGTTAGCTTTCTTTTAATCATCTTTGTGCTCAAATTTTACTAATGAATTATTTACCATTCTTTCTACTTTTCACAATTCTTTTGGTGTATGTAGATGAAGTGATTCTAGCAAGAAATTTCCTTCATGAATTTGATGGAATTAAGAAATTTTTTGACAGTTAGTTCAAATTAAAGGTACACACCATCCTTTGAAGATGTTGCAAGTTATAGAAAACTTGTGGGAAAGCTCCTTTACTTAACCACTACAAGACTTGACATTGCATTGGTCACATAACAACTCAGCTAATTCCTCACTTCAACTGCCATTACTCATTATGAAATTGAAAGCAGAGAGAGTCTACATACAGTACCTCAAAGGTTCCCTAGGTCAAGGCTTATTATTCATAAGAGAGGCACGATTCCAATTACGGTTTCACTGATGCATGTTAGAATCAAATATTTTGAAAAGAAAAAAATTCAAGCTGCCTCCAATTCACACCAAGGCTCAAATTGTTGATTTCTTTTCCAAACATTGTCTTATGTCTAAGCTCACCATGCTATAAGACATAGCTTGAGGGGGTGTTGAACGTGCATCTTACAGTCCAAGAAACATGTCAATATGGTAGTGGTTAGTAAGAATGTTCGCATGCATCCTGTTACTATCTTGAACTCAATGCCCTTCCAACTTGACATTCATTCAATTCCAACTTCCATAGATCAAAGTTTGTTGTTGTAAACAACTTGAACTTCATTCAATCCCAATTTGCATCTATCAAAATTTGTTAGCTTTTCCTTTTCCTTTTTCTTCTGTTTTCTGTTACAGTTCGGAATGATGAACTTCATGATTAATGACCTTCTACTGTTTTCTGTTAACAGTTCTTGGTCTAAATAAAAAATACTATTGAGTGAGAAATACTAACATAATATAATAATAACATACTATTATTTATTTTATCAAAACAAAACTCTTCTTGTGCCAAATTAAAAATTACATTAACTACACTATTAACTTTTTTTTATTGAGTCAACCAAAATATATATAATTTTGACCTAACTCCCTCGTATTGAAGTATCTCATCTGAATTGACTCATCAAATTCTTTTTTAAAATAAGTAAAAACAAATATGAATTTTGTTTGAAGGAAAAATTAAAATTCAAAAATAATCAAGATGCATTCATCCCAGCTCAAATTCAATTTAAGCCATAAGATAATCAGATAAAATATATTTATATATAAAATAAATAAAAAATAAAAAAAACAGAACCGTGTGAAGTTAATTGATTTTGGTTCTATAGAGCTACATTGGAGCAAGTATTGACACCTCTATTTACACCATGTCATTTGTTTTAAGAGAAATGGAAACAATATTAACAAATCAACCAAGATAAAGACACTCCAAACACCAACTCATTTAAAGCAAGTAAAAGGACAAGCTACATAAGATGTGAGAAGCAGAAAAACACTCAATTTGAATCAGATTAATTTAATTGCTTGCACATAGATATAAAGACACAGACAGCTAAAAATTACCAACAACCTAGCATTCAAGACAATCATTCCATTTGTAAGCCAAAAAGAACATCAATGCATTAAGAAAAGAAAACATAAGATGGACATAGGGGTATAATAAATATGAAGGCCTTCTGCCAGATAGATAAGAATCTGCAAAGAATTCAAAAATATGCCACAACCATTATACCATAGCAATAGGATTTAAAACCACTTTAATGTATAGGGTACCCACTAAAGAAAGTACAAAGACAGATTATAGTTATCATTTCTCAAGCACCAAACACTTCTTCGCCACACCAGACCCAATATCCAAAATATTATTAAACTGCAATCAAGCATATCCCATTCGAGATCGACGCAAAAACCTTGTACAGAAGCCAATGAAATATGAACTATAATAAGATATGTTGAGGGGTTTAGAGACCCTGTTCAATGAGATAATCACCAAGCCTTTCAACTACCATGTTGCACTGACCAGGAGTCATTGGTTCATCATAAATACCAATCACCAAAGCAAGAGTGGTCTTCTTAACAGTAACACCACCAGGACCCTGGATAATGAGAAAAAACAACAAAATATTACAACTATAATGGCCAAAAAAAGTATTAGGAAAGTGTCTAAACAAGTTATTACAACTATAATGGCCAAAAAAAGTATTAGGAAAGTGTCTAAACAAGTTATTATGCAAGAAACACAGCAGATAATCATAATTTACCATTGACTCGAAATTAAATTAAATTGAAGTACAATCCTACAAAAATACTAAAAATTGAATGTATTGTTTTATGAAAGACAATCCTAATAAATAACCAATTGAATGTAATGTTTTATTCAGGACAATCCTAATAATTAGTAATTATTTGTTCAGAGATCATACTATAATCTGTCCACTCATATATTTTTAAAAAGCTGCTAAATTCTGATCAAATTTAAGCACTGACAAATATATATGGTTGCAACTCAATTTTAACTTTAATTAGATTTTAAAAATGTGTGAAACCCCATTGTGTTGTGGTTCCTGAAATTGTAAGGTCAAGAATAGTTTCTGAAATAAATAAATAAATTGACAAAAAACATATAACTTTTTATGTTAAAGAAAAAATTGTGGTTAATTCATTCACACCTCAATTTGCTACACCTGTAGCGCAACAAACCTTGCACACTATAATTCAATTGACCAACTTTATGATTATCTCAAATGTAAATCATATAGATCACTACAACACAAGAATTTACATAAATCAAGATTAAAGCACCACTTTTTACCTTCTTCCCACGAATAACAGCTCCGGGTTCACCTTGAATCACCATATACTTCGTCCCCCCAATGTATAAACCAGTAGGAGCAAGAGTTCCAGGCTCATTAAAATCACTATTGACAGCAGTAATCTCCTCAGGCTTAAACTAAACAAAACAAACACCAAAACATCACATATAACATTAGATCAACTCAAAAAAAACAGATCTAGTTTACAATTTCAATTACACTTCACAACAGCATCTCATATGCACCAAAAACATAACACTTCAAGTCAATTGCATGCGGATCCAATAATTTCACAATCGAATTGATCAAAATCAGAAAATTAAACAAATAATAGTTTAATCGACGAATCGCGTTACAAACCGATTGGATTAAGCTTAAAAGGTAAAAGAAGTGAGATCGATTGAAAACCTGAGGGAAACTAGCACTCTGAGCCCAAACGCTGCCGTCTTGACCTAGAATAGCTGCATGAGTGAGATGATTCCCTTCGATATCGCAGAGAAGGTGATCATCGACGTAGGTTTGCCACGACATGGTTGAAGATTTGAGAGATTTTCTGAAAAAGCGATTATTATTTCGGAAACGCGATTATTGAGTGTTTGGGTGAAGTTGCGTTGAAATGACGGAGATAGCTATCCTTTAAAAATGAGTCTAAAAGATGGTGTGAGGGATGAAGTTACGAGAATGCCCTTTTTCGTTACCCTATTATCGCTGTTTTTGGCTGGCAAATAATGGAAAAAGAAAAGGGGGAAAGAGATATTCTTTATTTATTGATGATCGTGATTCCCTCTAGAGAAAATTAATATTAAGGGAATAACCGTTTTGAAATAGAAAAGAAAATAGAAAAGAAAAAGAAAAAAAAAAAAAAAGGAAAAAAGTTTTCTTTTTCTTTTTCTTGAAGGTTCAATGTCGCTTTTATAATCAAATGTCTTTTTTATATCTGCTTTTTTTCCGTTTCAAGCACCGTCTTGCTTTTTATCTTCTCGATTCTAAGACGGAAAATACATTATGAAAGAAAAAAGATTGTAAGTTGCGGTTTTTATTTTCTTTTTAACGTGTTTTTATTCAAATATTAAGATTTATTATAAAAAATTTAATCATCAATTGATTAATTGATGATTGCCGCTAAATTTTATAGGAAGACTACGGATTAATTGAATTGATCTCTAAAGTTTATATATATATATATATATATATATATATATATATATATATATATATATATATATATATATATATATATATATATATATATATATATATATATATATATATATATATATATATATATATAAACTTATTTTCAATTATATTTTTAAATTAAATTAAATTTAATGGTTAATTTTAATTCAATTATAATTACTATTTTTTAAAATAATCATTTGACTAAATATAAATTAAAGATTGTAATTTAAATTAAAATCGTAAATTGATCTAGAAAAAAATTGTTTGGATAGATTGAAATTTTAAAATTAAACTAAAATATGTACATGTATTTTTATTTTTTTAAATTAATATAATATATTACATTAATTTTTATTTAATTTATTGATTTAATTTAAAATAATTTTAGCTATTTTATATGCTTCAAACATAATTTATAAATTTTATTTTGAAATATTATATCTTATATGCAACTTATTATTTTATCTAGTCTTTAGTATATTATTATTAAAAATTTATAATATATATATATATATATATATATATATATATATATATATATATATATATATATATATATATATATATATATATATATATATATATATATATATATATATATATATATATATATATATATATAAATAAGTTATTACAAAATAATTCAGATTAATTGAATCTAATCGGATCAAATTTTAAAAATTCATATAAAATTGAATTCAAATTTTATCTTTAAGTTGATGACACTTTATTTCAAAATCAATCCATACTTTATTGTCGATACACCCATACCTTCAACTACAAAATTTTAAAAATTAAGTCTTTAATTTGCTATTATGGAGATTAAATTCAAAAAAATTTAATTTTATTAAACTTTAGAGAATATATTACTCTCAAAACTATAGGATCAAATTTAATTACGTAAATAATTGGGTCATCTTTTATTAATTGACTCTTGAGTATATTATGTTATTGACACGTTCTAAAGACACTCTCATGTAAGACCGACGAATAAATAAGGATTTTGTAATGAAAATTATATTATGACCTGTCAACATAGTCATTCATATAAGTCACATTAAGATGGTGCTTGAAATGAAAATCACATTAGACTTTTTGGGTCTAAAACCCTAACCACATTTATATAAATCATAACTTATGGTTCAGGTTTAGGTATTTTATTTCCAACCTTGAAAATATCACACTCACGACACTTACTTAATTTATCGTTAGATTGTTGGCAAGTTCACCACTTTCTTTCATGGAGAAGCTGTCATCGAAACACTACAACAAATAATGCTTTTTATAACGAAATTTTCACCTCGAACAATAGAAAATTGAGGTATAAAGACAAGGTGCGCTATTTTTTATTATTTTAAAAAAAATTAATTCCATCGATTTTTAAAATAATCGAGGTGAAAAAACAACTCAGTACAAACTTCGATTTCCAACTATCGTAGTTTATGATTTTATTTGTTTATAAGTGTAAACAAAATGTTCTAACCCTTCAATTTTCTATTTAATAGAGGTATAAAATGATAAGATTTTACTATAAAAGCACTCGTTAAACAAATTTTACCCTAATTCTTACTTATATGAAGTTGCCTCAAACTCGCAAGTATCATTCTTTGGGATGAATTGCAAGATAGAAAAAATCTTCAATGTTCTTCTATCTTGAACAAAACTTTTTTTTCTGTCCTTGCAATCTCTTTCACATAATGGCGTTGGTGTTGTCGTTGGTGTCTTTTTTGGAATAATCATTAGTTAAAGAAGGGTACTTAGTTGATAGATCGCAAGTGCAGAAAAGCTTTCTTGCTTCAAGTTATTGGAATTAACCCAATCTTGAGAATTCTGAATGAATATTGATGAACAAGATTCAATCAACTGATTGAATTCCTCTCTTGTTTTTCACTCTTCATTTGAGCGAATCAATCACACCTTGATTGCAAGAATGATTTTGCGTGGCAATTGTTAATGGAAGAAGAAATAAAAATTGAATTGGGAAGAAAATGGAATTAGGTTTTGAACCAAACGTAAAAGAGAATTTCTGCAGATTTTCTCTCTGCTATTCAAAGCTGAATATTATTCTTTGCAACTGTAAAATTGTTATACAATAATAGGGGTTACTCCATCTTTATAGATTTTGGGTTTGTTTTCTCCCTAAGCAAAGCCTAAAAATACAAAGCCCAAAATACCTAATTTTGCTAACACTATAAAATTAGGCCTAAGTCGAAATCTATGTCGAGGCTAACTCCTTTGACACTTCGACAACTACACAACTTAGATATACTAGATTATTTTGACACTACATTATTTATGTCGAGCAACCTGCTTCAACACAAAGAATTACATACTCAACATACCACCTAGTTCATTGTGTCTAAGCTATCTATACTCATCATAAACCTTAGTTTCTTGAACACTTCGACTTACACTCCTTTCATCATGATATCTGGAATATGTTTATTAGTTCTCCATTGTTCCAAGTTCATCTTCCCTTTTGCTACCTACTCTCGAAGATAGTGGAACCTTATTTCGATGTGCTTGCTTCGTCCGTGTGCTATCAGATTCTTCGCCAGATTCAAAGTTAACATGTTGTCGATCTTCATGGTAATTGCTTCATGACTCTTAGTTGTAATCTCTTCGACTAGATTCACCATCCACGTTGCTTGACTTGCACAAAGAGAAACATTTATGTATTCTGCTTCGCATAACATTAATGTCACTACTGGCTTCTTTATCGAACTCCAAGCAAGTCGTGCACCACCTAGCATAAAAACATAACCAGTTGTGGATTTTCGATTCTTAGTATCACTACACCAGCTTGAGTCAATGTAGTACACCCAACCAACCCCCAGAGAAGGTTGTTGTTAGAACAAATATTGGTGTTTAATATATCTCATAGTTTTGATGATAACATTAATGAAATTTTGTATAGAGAATTTATATACTCTAATTTTGTTCAAGTGTTTATTTGTTTCAGATATCAAAATTAATATTATTCTGGAAGCAAGAATGCCTCTGAACACTAAAGAACGAGAAATCTATGAGCGTCAGAAGTAACACATCACAAGACTCTGATCTGCTACAATGACTCTGAGCGAAGCTAAGAAGAACTTGAGTGAAGAACATACGTAAAGCTTCAGAATACTCTGGAAGTACTCAACGCTGCAAGTACAGAAGTTCTGATAAGCAAGTATGTTCTGATAAAGTATTTCACGCTTAAAGCACTTTACTGCAAACTCTGAGTGAGTTAACTCGTGATCTGAAGAACTAGGAACATCATCAGAAGTTCTGATGTAAGACGTTCCAAAGTTGTTGAAGAAGATGTTGTTCAAATAAAGATCCGTTGGCATATTCCTTGTCCTTACCTAAACGGATCTTTCCTCATTCGTGCATGACACAGGATTTCAGACAAAAAGGATTTGCCAGAACATTCCTCTTCTGAGAAAGGAAAAGTCAATAGAAGACAAAAAGAATAGAATGCACAGGTTGCACAGTCTTTGCGAAATGGATCTCAAATTACTATAAAAGCAAGTGTGCGCATCACTTCAAAGTTTGACGGAATCATTGACAAATTATTCAAAGCACTCATTCAAATATTCTTCAAGCTAGAATAGTTTTTCATATTCGTTCTTTAACTTTTGTAAAAATCACTATTGTGATATAGCTTTTTAGAAGCACATCTTAAACACAAATTGTTAGTTTATCTTTGTAAAAGATTTCCTTAAGAAGACCAAGTTGTGGTTAGAATTTCTTGAGAAGACTAAGACAGTTGTCTTAGTGGTTTACACTGTAATCAAGTTTGATTTAGTGGATTAAGTCCTTGTTGAGAAAGACAAATCACCTTGGTATGGTGGACTGGATTAGTTTGAGTTCAAACGAACCAGGATAAAAATACTGTGTTATTTTTCTATCATCTTAATCGTTTTAAAACCCTTATTCAACCCCCACCCCCCACCCCCCACTTCTAAGTGTTTTTCCTACCTTCAGTTGGCATCAGAGCTCCGATTCTGTAAGTGCTCTCACTTAACCATGACAGAAAAAGATCCTGTTGGGAAAAACTCTTATTCTATTGTTCTTGATTTATCATGGCTGCTGAAGCTTCAACTTCAACTTCATATAACAATAAATACGATGATATAGACAAAATCAGCACCAAACCTCCCATGTTTGATGGTGAGAAGTTTGATTACTGGAAAGATAGAATAGAAAGTTTCTTTCTAGGCTATGACGCTGACTTGTGGGACTTGGTTACTGATGGTTATATTCATCCTACAAATGATGAAGGCAAAAAGGTTGACAGAAAGTCTATGTGTGATCAACAGAAGAAGGAGTTTAGAAACCATCACAAGGAAAGAATCATTCTA